GAGTAATAATTTATGCTCGAAACGTAATCAAGTAAATAATACTGTATCACTGTGCACTTTATATCAAATAAACAAATCTAATATGTAATTACATTCTACTACAGTGCCCAAGTTTTTCACTTATATGTCAGGAAACTGTTTGCTACGTAACAATTCATATTGCGTCAGTTGATGAAGGAAATCAGTATAACACTTGACTTCGATGTATCGTTAATATAGGTGTAAAACTTTGGCACTATGATAGAATTTAATTCCATATTAGATTTGTTTATTTGATATATAACACACAGTGATATATTATTATTTACTTGATGACGTTCCGAGCATAAATTATCATTGCACACAATCATATCAATGTAATCACACTACTTTCGACATTGATTTTTATAGTTACGTCACCTCATATGACTTGTTTTCATCAGTAAAATTCTCTATATCTCTGGTATAGATGTTGCGTCATCTTTATTACATGTATTGGGTGTTGATTCGATGAACAAAGATTCAATAATCAATCTCTCTCTCAACCTAATTATATTGGACTTAAGTACAGTGGCTTTATCCCACCCCATTGTGTGGTTGTGTGTTAATGCACACATAGCAACAGGCGAGTTTTTTTGTAAATTATTCATCTTATTTGGGTCTGTTGTTCTATGTTCCTACGTTTGGCTATTCTAACTGACCCCGACCGGCTAGTTTGACCTATGTACTTGACCTCGTAGTCATTACATGGAATTTGATAGGTCAGATTATTTTGCTTAATTGGTTCTATCGGATCCGACAAAGCTAACGTCTGAGTGAGTTTGAAGGTTTAAATGTCAGCCTAATTCCAGCTTTGTTGAGTATCCTACGTAAAGTTTCTGAGGTACCCTCCTCATAGGGTAATACAATGGAGGCTGTGAACTCCTTTCTGCTGTGTTGTCGTTATTATTTGCACTCGTGACTGTTATTTTTTCCTTTCTTGTGTGTGCGTAAGAATTTCCTACTAACTATTAGCGCTTCTTTTGCGTGTTTCAATTCCTTCTTTAGGTTCTTGCTCTGACTAGTCAGTTTTCTAACTATATCATTTAGACATTTGACTAATCCTGCCTTAACTGACATTGGATGGGATGACTTGAAGTCTAGATACCTGTTGGAATGTGTTGGTATTCTGTAGACAGTAGCATCCAAATCACCGTCTGTCTTCATTTTATTCTGCAATCCAACACAGGAAATTCTCCTTGTTCACTTTCTACCTCGTAAGTCAATTGGATTGCGTTTACTATGAGTTTATATGCATGAAGAAATTGTCGATATGTTCCGATTTCAACACAGTAAATATGTCAAATACATAACGCCATCATATTTTTGGTGCACCAAAAATGACTGTGATGTCAAGTACATAGGTCAAACTAGCCGGTCGGGGTCAGTTAGAATAGCCAAACGTAGGAATTCAGCTAAATATAGAACAACAGACCCAAATAAGATGAATAATTTACAAAAAAACTCGCCTGTTGCTATGTGTGCATTAACACACAACCACACAATGGGGTGGGATAAAGCCACTGTACTTATTATTATATTATTATTATTAGTCCCTTGGGTTCCTAGTGGAACATAGGGCTTCAGTAGCACGCCTCCAGTGACCTCTGTTCTCTGAGATCTTTTGAACCTGGTCCCACGACAGCCCAGAAGCTCTCATTTCCTCCTCGCACGATCTCCTCCATGTCACCCTCAGCTGGGACGCCCAACTCGTCGCTTCCCATGGGGATTCCACTCGAGGGCCTGACGCGTGATGTCCTCCGTCGGCCTTCTCAGTGCATGGCCAATCCATCTCCACTTCTTCCTGCATATTTGTTGCGTGATAGGTTCTTGGTTGGTTCGTTCCCAGAGTTCCTTGTTGCTTATTCTTTCTGGCCAAGTCTCTGAACATACAAGAGCACTGACTGACGTTGGTGTTGAAAATCCGTATCTTGTTTCGCATGCTGAGTGCAGAAGATCTCCACACTGGTTTCAGGCTAATGAATGCCTGTCTTGCTTTTCCGATTCTGACTTTGACGTCCTCGTCCGTCCCGCCTGTAGTTGAAACAGTGCTTCCTAGATAAGTGAAGGAGGTTACTTCCTTCAAGTTTCTCCCGTTGACGGTGATTGGAGTTTGTTGTTGTTGTTGATGGTGGTGGTGCGGTATCTTCATCACTTCTGTCTTCTCTATATTCACCTGAAGTCCCGTCTTCGCTGCCTCTTCTGTCAACTTGTTAGTTTTTGCTGCAGATCTTCAAGTTTATGTGACATTAGCATAAGTCATCACTGGCGAAATCCAAGTCTTCTAGGTTCTTTTCCGTCGTCACTGTACTTAAGTCCAATATAATTAGGTTGAGAGAGAGAGATTGATTATTGAATCTTTGTTCATCGAATCAACACCCAATACATGTAATAGAGATGACGCAACATCTATACCAGAGATATAGAGAATTTTACTGATGAAAACAACTCACATAAAGTGACGTAACTATAGAAATCAAATGTCGAGAGTAGTGTGATTACATTGATATGATTGTGTGCAATGATAATTTATGCTCGAAATATCATCAAGTAAATAATACTGTATCACTGTATGTTATAGATGAAATAAACAAATCTAATATGGAATTCGATGTATCGTACCTAGAATTGCTAATTACCGCGTAGTCTCTGACGTAAGCATCTATGAAAGGTTTTTTTGGCAACAAACAAACTGCCAGACAAGCAGTAGTGAGATCTTTAAGAGACGTCGTTAGATCTTCAATACACCACTCCCATATACTCATCACTTAACAATTCTAAGTATATACTAGACAGGAAAATAACTTTAAAAAGGGTTTATTGATTCGCTGATCCCTATAGCAATGAGAAATTAGGAGTATCAGACAATACCAACACTGACACCCGTTGCAGAAGTGGTGGTTGCCATGCTCCGGTGGATAATACTTTGTAGTTCGAAGAGATGTGTACTGGGTTGGAGTCTCAGTGAGAACAACATCATTCGCTGGGGTGCAAGTAAATCCTACCGATTCCTAATAAGGATGGAATGTGCGTCCTGGATTCCACTGCTAGACATCGAATAGACTATGATATGATTAATTTCTATTTGTAAGCAACAGTGTAGAACAAATGTCATCGAAAATTGTACGGAATTTATTGATCGCATAGTTTGAGTGTTTACTGAATTGCGCGTGATACAAATGTTTCGCCAACCAGTTAATGTCAACGTTAAGCCTGTCACCACTGCATATCCTTTCAAGTTGTCACTTCTCATATCAGTAGATCAAGACAACTTTCTGTAATGACCTTTTGTATACTCTAACTATATCCTCTATCCATCTCTGCAAGTTATTCCTTATGAGAAAACTGTACACGAAAAAACAGCATCATTAAAAAAAGAACAGAGAAATTAAGATAGACATGTTTTGTTTGTTTACTTATCATGTAAAAATCATTTTAAACCATTCCTTTTTTTGTAGTGAAAAATATGAATTCACAGTATATGACATGCATAAAAACAGTCTATGTAGGTATGTACGGACTCAGTTAAGAAAAGTTTGCAGTCAAAGGAAAATGTGCTTTTATTGGCAATACAGGAGTAATAACACCAGGACAGTGTATTTCAAACAAAAAAAAACACATTAAACTAGCATAAAATTGAAATTAATCGATAAGAAGGTATATAGATGAGTAGATTCGAAGAGAAAAAAATCAGTTAAGTTAGATGTGCTTACAGATCAGTTAGTTACATGCTAGTACTAGTCAGCATGACTTTTTTTCAGATTCGCCTATTGTCGACTTATTGCTACGCTAAGTAATCAATAATCGAGTAATAAAATTAGTACTAACATGGATTATTCTGATGTTTACTGATTATACCATGACTGAAACAAATAATTGCAATAAATTTAGAATTTTATACATGTTAATTAATTCAGCATCTATTGATGCCTTTCATTAGGCATATATGTTCACACGGTAGCATACGTTATCAGTACGGCAATCAGATACTTACTACCTTTCATAAACGGTTATAATTAAGGAATATTGGCACGACTTTTTATTCACAGAATAAAGAAATAAGTGGTTGACATATGCAGAAAAATTACTATAAAAATGAAAGCAAGACGGCATCAAGACTGCACGAAATTAATAAAGCAATACAATAAATATATTTTTTATATGTGATTCCGCAGAAAACACATCCACCAACTGAATTACTCAATCGATCCAGCAACAAATAATCGATAAATTTTGTTCACTTTAAAAAAGAAGTGGTTAGAAGGACACTTTTGATCGATCAAGTGGATTGACTGACAATATATATCACAATGAGTCAGTCAGTCAATCTCACAGCCAATTATCTGATACAGAAAATTGTTTCACAATTAGATGTAGAAGAAGGTATCTTGTGTACAATTGAAATTAAAGCAGGAGACGAAGAAAGAAACAAAAAAAGTAGTAGTGGAAATACAATTCGCTTCTCTTTATCAGTGGAAATGATCGATTTATTGGCATCAACAGTAAACAGGAATTATTTCTTACGGAATGCTAAAAATGAGGAAATAATCAATTTCATTAAAAGTGAGACTTTAAAAACGGTGATAGGAAAATGTGCATATTTCAAAATAAAACAATAGAAAAAGGCAATCATCAAAAAAAGTGAGTAAATTAGAGGAAGTAGAAAAAACATTGGTAGAAATACTTATAAAATAAGTAATAAATGTGTATAAAAAACAAATCTTATCAAGCCATTCTCTTTGTATTCTTGTTTCTTATAAATTTGAACAAAGGTGTCGTTAGATTTTAGATATCAAATTTAAATATGGCGGGATAAAGTGGAGTGAAATTATTCGAGAAACAAAGGGAGTTGGGGCGGGGGGGTTAGATCTTATTTTCAGTATTAATACTGGGATGATTGATTGAATGAATGAATGAAATAAGAACTAGGTAGATAAACAAAAATAAACTGTTTACAGTTAAATGAAACTTTCTGTGCTGTATACATATATATATATATATATATATATATATATATATGTGAAAAGATAAGAAAAGCGGATGCGGTTTTACAGAATGCTGCATGCACGTGTAGTATTTTCACTTTTCAGAGATTTTTGATCGCGAAGATCAACAGTTGTCAATTCCTTGCGTGATCCAGTAGTCGTTCTTGGCTTGCTTTTACCATTATTGTAAGAACCGTTACGTTTGGGACGAAGACGTTTATTTTTATACCTTTGATCAGGTAGAGTTGGATCATTTTTGTACTGTAGGCCTTTATCTCGGAGGATACGATAAATACCAGTCAGTTTATTCTTGGGTCCTTCGCTTAGAGCTCTATCTAATTCAACTGCATCAACGTTCCACCATCTTTTTAATAAATACCTTGCAGATGTATCATCAATTTCATCAGGAGTTGGGTCTCTGTGTCTTTCTAAAGAACCCAATCAACGCTGCTGAACCAAGGAGAATTCTTTGCTTGCGAGATTGTAAACCTGCGTTCAGCTGTATGTGTCAATAATCCAGAGATTAAAGCTTGACAGTGTGGTGTAACATACGATGGAATACGGTATTCTCCCGAGAGAATAAGACGTTTGATTTTCTGTAGACTATCCGCTTTGAATGGTAAATTTCCTGTCACCATATAAAAGGTGAGGACGCCAAGTGCCCATAGATCAACAGCTGGTCCCAAGTAGGAGTCTGCGACGAAGAGCTCTGGGGCAGCATACGGAGGAGAGCCACAAAAGGTAGTTAAGGCTGCATCTGGAGCGGCACATTTAGAAAACCCGAAATCTCCAAGTTTAACATACATGTTGCTCACAATGAAAACATTTTCCGCCTTAAGATCTCGATGAACCACACCATTGGTATGCTGTATACAAAGGGAAGAGAGAGAGAAAAAAAATTGATTCAATACATACATGATGACTAATGGCATTCACCAGACATTTCAGTACTTTCTTTAACTTTGCGTTAAACGTTGTAAGCGTAAGACTGTGAAAAGATAGCATAATGTTATTGCTTGGAATTTCTGTCACTGATTGAACCGGGTTGGGTGGTCTCTATTGGCATATAGGCTCTTACGCCAGTCCCTCAATAATGCCTGTAGTTTCAGTCTGACAGTAATCACGGATTGCACGTAGCAATGGAGTTCAGGACGCGTGTTTCATCCCACTTTGGACTCATCAGGGGAATGTACCTGTTTTGCAGTGAATGATATTGTCCAATCAAAGAAAAAGAATTACAAGCAACAATATAACAACTGTGCCCGTCGCACAATAAAAGTGGCTACCGTGGCTCAGTGGTCTAGTGGGAAAAGCTTTGCCATTTAAAGTGGTCGGTTCTGGGTTCGAGTTTTAGTGGAAATAACAGCACTCACTAAGAAGCAGTTACAAGTAGGAAGAGACACGTGTTCTGTATTCCTGTGCTAGCCAATATTCATCAATACTGTGGAACAGAGAAGCGTCTTAAAACCCAGTACAAATGGTTTTTCTTGATGACATACATTATCACACTTGAATAGGTTAATATGTATTTCGTACAATACGAAAAATCATGCATGAAAAGATATTTCAACATGTTAATACCTTAAATATAATAGGTTCAGCCACGATTACCATAGACACCGTGAAAAAGCTGTTCAAAGGAAACATTAGAGAAATGGGAATTATTTATGACTGGAAAGAGCCCTGTAGGATACTGAGACCCTACCAAGTTTATTCTAAAGTATGGGAGAGGATATATTAAGAAAACATAGAATTCAACTATTGAGAGAAAAGCCAGTTTTTATTTGTCTGGTATTCAGGAGAAAATAAATTTGTCAAAAAGAATGGATGGACTCATAAGATGTGCACTGAAACGAAGCTTCGCTTCCACTAGACTGTCTAAAGTTTATAGTATCAATCTATAGTGGATAAATACCCTTCTTTCGTCACCTCCAACTTGATTTACTAATTCATATGTACTTGAAAAAGCAGATATACGGATAGGATTGATTGAAGGATGTATAACCAATTTTTTAGGTATGTTTGAAGTTCAGTAGCTAGATGTGTGAATGGAACTGGACACCAAATAGGTATCTGTCAATCCTTCAGCATAGTAAACCAAAATGCTACCAAGTCGAGTATGGCTTAAAGCTCCCCTTTTGTACACAGATAGAGATTATGAGTAATCTTTCTCCATCCTGGTATGCATTTGTAAACTCAACTGATTTCAGTACAAATTTCAGGATGTATACAATTGATGTATATATATATCGTTTGAAGTGGAAACAATAAAATTTCACTTAGGTAATCTGCTTACGCTTAGTATGTTCGAAACAAACATTTGCTGTTTGGTGAAGACAGCTGCTATAACAACAATTTTATCTCCTAGAGAATTATTCAAACAATATACTATAGTAATTTTTGTGTTTTGGTATCCGATTCAATATGAACTTCGAGATTCTGTGCTCTGGATAATTTAGTGATTTTTGTTAACAGAGTTTAGTATTCATCCAATTACATCAGTATATAAAAATTTAATAATAATAATATAACAGGACTGTGAACTTTCCTATATTACACATGTATTGTAACGAAGATCTTTGGATAACTAAGACACGTTTGTCAGAATTCAGTTGTACACGTTGAATGGTTCAACTGAAAAGCTTCCATCCTCATCATGACTTGAAATAAAAGTGTAGTTATGGAAAGTTTTAACTTGCATTAAATGAGTTTAGACTATAATAAGCCGGATTTATCAGTCGATCTAAAGCTGTGTCCAAAGCCAACTCTTATCGCTAAAAGGTACTAGTGAACTTCGCCGCAATTGAGTATCTTATTCATCTACGGTGAGAGATGCGACATTAACTTTATAAAGCAGACTCCGATAAATATTAACAATCTGTAATAAATTTACCCGTAGTTACGGCTATATATCCAAGAGAGAATTTAGTTTTAAACCCATAGAAACCTGACAGACAACGATGACGATAAAAATTATCAAGGTTACCAGATCAAGTGCCTGTGACCTGATTTTGAGTAGTTATCGATTTTAGTTTAGTTTAGTTTAACTTTAACATTGAATCAGATTAACAGGCTCAGTTTTTACACTATGTATGTATGCAAGTTTGAATGTGTGTGTGTGCCATTTGTGTGTTTACTTCATAGAACTGAGCAAGTAAAATTTAATAGAACATAAAAACCGGTTGTATTTTTCTATTTAATAAGTCGCCAAAAGTGCTCAGTATTGAGCTGAATACATGAAATCTATTTAAAGTCTAAGAATACTAACCAGATAGGTATAGGGTCATTCAAGAATGCAGCAAGAAAAATGCTGTGGTCACTGCTAGACATATTGTATTTCCTAAAGGTTGACTAGGCGAGAAAGTCATTTGCTGTAATTGCTTGCCATAAGGCTTATTCAAACCAAGAGTAATTAAAAAAAGCAAACGTTTGCAAATACACGTACATATCATTAAATATAAAGCGTCTCCTGCAAGTCATTAGACTAAAATGTTTTGTTGAGACTTTTTACGGAATACTGGAACAGTCAGTAAATCCCATACTGTATAAGACGTAGAAGACAACTGTTATCTACTCAGTGAACTATTTCACTTCTATAAATCTACACTCCATATAGTCCCATTCTTGGCGAGGTTGTGGGTGCGCACCGATGAGGAGTCACGTAGTAGGACGAAACAGTTGTCAGTGCTCTCTCCAACTGATGTCAGTACATGATGAAAATTAACCTGAAACGGAAACTCATTTACAATGAGTACTTCACAATGCGTTCTCATGCAAGTCAAGGACACTTCAGGGGGTATTTCACTCCTCTCCTCAGCTTTCCTCCTTATTTCAGGCCAAAAGCTGAAGTGATCTACACCCAATAGATAAACTGAAGTCAGTCAGGTAGGTTCGCGATGGTGAGCCGCCTAGCCTGATCGCCATATTGGAAATGATCGATAAAGTTCGATAAGCACTTAAAACTAGACTACATGAAGTTGGTTACCCTCCAGTAAGCAATCAATGTACCTAACCCAGTCCTACAGAGGGTTAATCGCAGCCTAAATAGCTGAGTGGTAATATCTCTGAGGTAGGTGACGCGGGTCCGAATATCAGGCGGAACATCATTTCCATTGAGGTTTCAGATACGTCTTTCTTATGAGTGCACGCAACCTGGGTACAGGGCTTCCTGGCGATTGCCTCCATCCAACTAAAATCATGAAATGTTAACTAGGAACTGCAGAAAGATAAACTTTCTTTTCAAATCTGTCAGTTTTATAATGATTCATATACGTATAAAGAATGCGGTATTGGAGGAAAGAAGATAAGTAAGAAAAAAAGCGGCGACGTTACCAAATGTAGCTTGCCAACGCTTTGTCGGTATAGCTGAAGTTGTAGACATTAAATAGTCCTAACCTGAACTCTCCATTCAAAAGAAACATGTTCAATTCTGATTTTTGTGGGGGGTCTTTTTATTTATTTCAGATTGGTATTTATGGAATTATTTTGGTGCTCACTGATGATTTGCTTCAAGATAAGATTGCCGTAGTACTTATGAGAAGTCGGGCCAGTGGGTCAACCAAGTCGGACGTGAGAACCAGTTACTCAACGACAACGTTGGATGGAGATCACGCTGTATCGTGAACTGAATGAAGTAGGAAATATGGGCCACTGGATTCGGACCCTGTGGCTCAGCAGTAACATGCTGGCCGCGGGACCTAAATGCCTTGGATTCAATCCCTGGAGAGGTGATGAGTGCACACTACTGAGGAGTACAATGCTGGGATGAACAGTTACCCAGTGCTTCCAGATCTCCTCCAACTGACGTCAGTCTGTAGTAAATCCAACCAGATATGTTCAGCCGACACTATTTCCCTGACCTTTTATACACCAAAGGCTATCCCCCTTCATCCTTGTTTGCTGTCATTTTTCTTTCTGTCCTTTATACGCAGAAAAACCATCTTAACAACAATGAGAAATTTTAAAATGAAAAAGAACGAGCTATTCACAACTTCGTAGTTAAATTGCACATTAGAAATGTAACTGCCCTACAGTTGGCCTGTTTTACGCTGAATAGTCACAATTTATAACTGTAGAATCTTAAGAGAGTATTTAGGGAAAATAACAGTTCTTCATCCAGTTTGAGTTTTAACAAGTGAAAGTTTTCAAATATTTGAATTCCTAAATCTAGGTAAACCTGAGAAGACTACCCGCTGATTCGGAGTTTTAGGCATATTCAGTCGACAGTGTTAAGAAGACTTCATTTAAATAGATCTTATTTGAGCACAATTTTGATCTATCTGACGCAGAAAGCCTACAGTCGGCATGATATGACTTCAACGACATCCAATGATGACCATAGCTTTAGTTATCAATCCTCCTCATTCTCTCTCTACACCTACCCAAGTTATTTTTTGAAAATTGTCACTGCATCCCATCCTTTTATCAATCATTACCTGGCACAGGTGATAAGAATGTTATAATATCAGTTCCGGATATGTGGAAAATTTTACTATCAAATAAACTTATCAATGAAAAACAGTAGGACTATATTAAGTTGTAGGGTTACCTTGATATGATTATAGACAATAAATTCGGCCTCAAAACGTCATCACTGTCATATGGTGTTCGTTTGACTGTGTGATACATATAACATAAAGTGTCTGATACGACCTAAAATTTACTCTCATAATAATGACACCCAGTCTTTATTTACTGCTTACTCACTTATCAGTCTCGTATATCCTGCCGATTGTGATAAATAAACACATAGGTGAGTGATCTCGAGTTATGGCTTTCATTTTTATCACATTGATCATACGAATACCAGTGAACATTCATTCTTCTCTATTTATCAGACTAAAAACTTTGAATTTCTCAAATATTT